ACTATTTGTTGAAAGACTATTTCCCTTTCATATTTTTGCCTTCGTTGTCAAAGATCAACTGACCACATAAACACAGATTTATTTCTGGGCTCTCTGTAGAGTACCATACTGTATTGATTACAACAGATTTACGGTATAACTTGAAATCTGGGGTGGTGCTATTTCCAGCTTTGTTTTCCTTTTCAAGATTTCTTTGGCGATTTGGGATCTTTTTGGGATCCATACAAATTTTTGGATTGTTTTTTCTAGTTCTGTGGAAAATATGTTGGTATTTTGATAGGGATCGCATTAAATATGTAGATTGCTTTGGGTAGTATGGACATTTTAACAGTATTTGTTCTTCTTATCCATCAGTGTTGAGTATCTTTCCATTTGTTTGTGGTATCTTCAATTTACTTTATCAGTGTTTTATAGTTGTCAGAATATGTCTTTCACCTCCTTGGTTAGGCTTAATCCTCGGTATTTTATTGGTTTTGATGCAGGTGTAAATGGGATTAAAAAAAATTTCTCTTTCTGCTGCCTCATTATTAGCATATGGAATGCAATTTCTGTATACTGATACTGTAACCTACAACCTTGCTGAATTTATTTATCAGTTCTAGTATTTTTGGGATGGTCTTTAGGATTTTCTAAATACAGTATCATGCCATCTGAAAAGAGTGCAAGTTTTACTTCTTCCTCATAATTTACATGACTTTTACTCTTTTTTGTTGTCTGAATGCTGAAGCTAGGAATTCCAATACTATGCAGAATAAATGTGCTGAAAGTGGACATGCTTGGCTTGTTCCTAACCCTCTCTCAGTTCTTCCTCATTAAGCATCATGTCAATATGAGTTTTCATATATAGGTTTTATTATGTTGAGGTATGTTCCCTCCAAACCTACTTTGTTGGGGATTTTTATCATGAATGGATGTTTGTTGGGTTTGGCAAGCAAACCCAGAGATAGCAAATGAAAAGATTACTCCAGACACCAAAGTAGGAGAAAGGAGAGGGCAACGGGACATGACACTCCAGTGGCGAAAGGTCTCGAGCCAAGCTCTGCCTCCACTTTTATTTTGAGTTTTATCAATATACCACACGCAAGAGAAAAACAAGAAGGAATGAGTAGCTTCAAGGATCAGGACATATATATATGGGGCAGCAGGTGACAGAAGCAAGCAGCGCTTGTGACATATGAACAAGGCAAGGAGTTCGGGAAGTACGTGACCACTGCAGGTACCTGAATTTCTTCAAAATTTAAACATTTGCTCCCTAGATGAGAACCTTAAGCCACAGTAAGAATCTGGCTGCTTTCAGCCAAGAAACTTCAAAGGCGGCCCAGCATTCCAGGCACTCCTCCTTTGTTTTTCAATTAGTCTCATCCAGGGAGGTATATACAAGTCAGATTTTATCAATCCAGGCCCTGTGAATCCCCATATGTGTACTCTGTCAAATGCTTTTTCTGCAACTACTGAAATGTTCATATGTTTTTTACCCTTTTTCGTTGATATAATGTAGCATGTTACTTGTTTTGCGAATACTGAGTCACCCCTGCATCCTGGGAATACATCCCACTTGATTGTGGTAAACGGTTTTTTAATGTATTGTTAGGTTCAGCTTGCTAATACTTTGTTGAGGACTTTTACATCTATATTCATCAAAGATATTGGCCTGCCATTCTTTTCGTGGTGTCTTTTTTGGTTTTGGTATCAGGGTAACACTGGCCTCATAGGATGAATTTGGAAACCTTCCTTCCTCTTCCGTTTTTTAGAACAGTTTGAGAATAAATATTGACTTTTTAAATGTTTGGTAGAATTCAATTGTGAAGTCACGTGATTCTGGACATTCTGTTGTTGGGAGTTTTTCATTACTGATTCAGTTTCATTGCTGGTAATTAGTTGTTTCAATTTTCTATTTCTTTATAATTCAGTTTTAGGAGATTATATGCTTCTAGGAATTTATCCATTTCTTCTAGGTTGTCCAATTTGTTGGTATATAATTTTTCATATTTTACAATCCTTTGTATTTCTATGGTGTTGGTTGTTATTTCTCCTCTTCCATTTCTGATTTTATTTGCATGAGTTCTCTCTCTCTCCCTGATGAGTTTGACTGAAGGTTTATCAAATTCATTGATCATTTCAAAGAACTAGCTCCTGGATTTATTGATCTGCTCTATTATTTTTTCTGTTTCTATTCTGCTTATTTCTGCTCAAATCTTGTTATTTCTTTCCTTATCCTGCTTTTGAGGTTTGTTTGTTCTTCTTTTTCTTGCCCCTTTAGGGGTAAGTTTCGGTTATTTGAGATTTTTCTTTCTTCTTGAGATACATCTGTATTGTTATAAACCTACCTCTTAGACTGCTTTGCTGCATCCCAAACTTTGGAACTGTTGTTTTCATTTCATTTGTTTCCATGTATTTTTCTTAAAGATTTATTTATTTATTTTAGAGAGAGAGTGGTGGAGGCAGAGGGAGAGGAACAGAGGGAGAAGGAGAAAGAAACTCTAAGCAGACTCCATGCTCAGCACAGAGCCCAACATGGGGTTTGGTCTCATGACTTGGAGATCATGATCTAAGCTGAAACCAAGAGTCAGATAACTAACCGACGGTGCTACCCAGGCACCCCTCTCTCCACGTATCTTCTGATTTCCTCTTTGATTTTTTGGCTGACCCATTAAGTGTTTGGTAGCATGTTTTTTAACCTCCGTATTTCTGTGATCTTTCTGTATTGTATCTTGTGGTTGAGATTTAGTTTCATAGCATCGTGGTCAGAAAAGATGTATACTATGATTTTGACATTTGTGAATTTGTTGAGACCTGTTTTGTGGTCTAACATGTGAACTGTTCTGGAAAATGTTCCATGTACACTTGAAAACAATGTGTATCCTGCTGTTTTAGGATGGAATGTTCTGAATATTTCTGTTAGATCCACCTGGTTCAATGCTCATTTTCAGCTACTGTTTTCTTACTGATTTTCTGTTTGGATGATCTGTCCACTGATGTAAGTGGAGTGTTGAGATCCCCCTGCTATTATTATATTACTATTGATTAGTTCCTTTATGTTTGTTATTAACTGCTTTACGTATTTGGGTGCTCCCTTGCTGGGTGCGTAATTATTAACAATTGTTTTATCTTCTTATTAAATTGTTCCATTTATGATTATGCACTGTCTTTCTTAGTCTCTTGTTTTAAAGTCTATTTTGTCCAATGTGTTCAAGCTGTATCACAAAGCTGTAATCATCAAGACAGAATGCTACTGGCACAAAAACCAACACACAGATCCATGGAACAGAATAGAGAGCCCAGAAATGTACCCTCAACTCTATGGTCCACTCATCTTTGACACAATAGGAAAGAATATCCAATGGAAAAAAGAGAATCCCTTCAACAAATGGTGCTGGGAAAATTGGGACAGCCACATGCAGAAGAGTGAAACTAACACATTTTCTTACACCATATGTAAAAATAAACTCAAAATGCATGAAAGACCTAAATGTGAGACAGGAATCCATCAAAATCCTAGAGAACACAGACAGCAACCTCTGCGACTTTGGCCACAGCAACTTCTCCAAAGGCAACGGAAACAAAGGCAGAAATCAACTACTAGACTTCATCAAGATAAAAACTTTTTCACAGAAAAGGAAACAGCTGACAAAATCAAGACAAGCGACAGAATGGGAGAAGATATTTGCAAATGTCTTATCAGATAAAGGGCTAGCATCCAAAATCTATAAAGAACTTACCAAGCTCAACACCCAAAGAACAAATAATCCAATCATGAAATGGGCAGAAGACATGAATAGACATTTCTGCAAAGAAGACATCCAAATGGCCAACAGACACATGAAAAAAAATGCTCAACAACACTTGGCATCAGAGAAATACAAATCAAAACTACAATGAGATACCACCCTACACTAGTCAGAATAGCTAAAATCAAAACACAAGAAACAAGTGTTGGTGAGGATGTAGAAAAAAAAGACCCCTCATGCACTACTGGTGGGAATGCAAACTGGTGCAGCTGCTCTGGAAAACAGTATGAAGGCTGCTCAGAAAATTAAAAACAGAACTACTATATGATTCACTAATCGCACTACTGGGCATTTATCCAAAGAATATGAAAACATTAATTTGAAAGGATATATGCATCCCTATGTTTACTGCAGCATTATTTGTAATAGCCAAATTGTGAAAGCAGCCTAAGTGTCCACTGAAAGATGGGATATTATTCAGTCACAAAAAAGAATGAAATCTTGCTATTTCCAAAATCATGCATGGATCTAGAGAGTATAATGCTAAGAGAAGTAAGTTAGAGAAAGACAAATATCATATGATTTCACTCCTATGTGGAATTTAAGAAACAAGTGAACAAAGAAAAAACAGACAAACCAAAAAAAAAAAAAAAAAGACTCTTAAATAGAGAACAGATGGTTATCAAAGAGGAGGGGAATGGGGGGGGGGATAGTTGAAATAGGTGAAGAGAATTAAGAGTACACATATCTTGATTAGCACTGAGTAATTATAGAATTGTTGAATTTTGTACACCTGAAAGTAATAGAATACTGTATGTTAACTATACTGGAATTAAAATACAAAAAAGAAACACAGATCAAGAAAATACATTTCATTAGAGATAGGGAAGAACAAATACTGGAAGGGGTTTTTAGACAAGAACACATTTCTATTAAAATGGTTTAGTTACATTCTCACCCAGGGAAAGAACATAAATGGGCTTGATACTTTAATTAATATAATTCTTTTTTTTTTTTTTAAGATTTTATTTATTTATTTGACAGAGAGAGATCACAAGTAGACAGAGAGGCAGGCAGAGAGAGGGAGGGAAGCAGGCTCCCTGCCAAGCAGAGAGCCCGATGTGGGACTTGATCCCAGGACCCTGAGATCATGACCTGAGCCGAAGGCAGCGGCTTAACCCACTGAGCCATCCAGGCGCCCCAATTAATATAATTCTTAAATAAAATCTAAACACATGATCTGTAAAGGTAATCTCTGTTATATGGACCAACCTTTTCTGGGTCTGGCAAATTTTCAGGATTTTCAGCCTCAGGCCCTAGAAAGTAACAATATGTTTTACTCCAGTTTTATTAGAGCACTAGAAACATAACTCTGACTTAGCATTTCTTAATCAAAATAACTTGAAATGCTTCTCACAGGCATTCATGTAATACACAAAACATTTTATAAATATTATACCTAATTATTGACATAAAAGTATCATTACAGTGGCAATGAAGTTACAAAAGAAAATTCTTCCATTTCCTAAAAAAACACTTTACACAAAGATAAGTAAAATTATAATTATTTAGAATTAGTTTAGCTAAAACCTCTCTATTTTGGCTGAGTTATTCTAAGTATAGGTAACTACAGGAGGAAAAATCATACCTACTTGCTCAGGGTCATCATCTCCTCCATTATAGTTAATACAATATAAATTAAAATCATGCCATCAGGTTAGGCATGAAAAGGAACAACCCAAGTAGGGGCAAAAAGGAATCAACAGGTTGTCCTAAGTGACTTCCATTTTATTATCCTCTCATCTTGCTCCCTCTGCAATTCATACCAAGTGAAATTGAAGGAGGAGCGGGGAAAAAAGATGATTCTCCTACACCACTCCTCTTGCCTCCTACCTTCACCATCAAGGCCCAGGCACTCTGATATATTTAGGTAGGGGTTTAGGGTTCACTGGTGTTTCAAGCAATTATTTGAATCATTCTTTTGGTTTCTTTTGATTAGGTAGTATCTAGAGCTACAGCATAAGACAAGTAATTATTTGCTGAACCTTAGCATGTATCCTCATAAGCAAGACAGGGTTTTCAGGGGGAAAAAAAAAACAAAAAACAATAAATATGCTTGCTAAGTTTTACATCATGCAAAAATCTCCTTTTTATTGTTATTGTTTTGTTTTGTTTTGCTTCACCTTTGACATTTGATGATGATAAACTAGGAATATAAGCTAGAAGGGTTAACATCATGGTATTACACACTCTCACAGGATGATGAGCAAAACATTTCTAAGAATAAGTAACTTCTTATTCTTGCATTAGAACCCTCTGTGCCAAGCAATGATGACTGTATGTTCTGCTATGTATATCTTGTTATTTAAAGTTTTATCTCTTGTTGTGTAAAATTTAGTATACATGAAACACTGTAATAGATACATCTTCAATTATCTTTTTTTTTTTTTTAAATGGCAGATCCTTGGGGGGTTAGTTTAAAAACAGAGAATTCATCCTCTTTCCTCCTCTGAATTGTAAAGAAAATCCTCAAAGCCATCTCTTTCTGTATTTTTAATCACCTCATAATCAAAATAATCACTTTTATGCCAATAGTTGGTATTTTTTAAATTTGATAAATTGGTATATATTATGCTAATCTGACTACTATATAAAAATAAACATATTTAAGTACTTCTCATTTTCTAACTATAAAATTTACTTAAAATAGTTTTTACAAATCAAAAAAATTGTGGAGGGTGCCTGACTGGCTCAGTCTTAGATTTTGTACATTTTCTACTTAACACCTGAAAGAGACAAAATGTAGTAGTAGTATGTATGTATGTATAAAAAATAATTCAAGGGGCACCTGGGTGGCTCAGTTGGTTAAGCGTCTGCCTTCTGCTCAAGTCATGATCCCAGGGTCCTGGGATTGAGCCCCATGTAGGGCTCGCTGGTTGGCAGAGAGTCTGTTCCTGACCTCTCCCTCTGCCCCTCCCCTCCTGCTTGTGATCCTTCTCTCTCTCTCTGAATGGGAGAAGATATTTCTCTCAAAATAAATACAATTCTAAAGTACCAAATGAGAAGAAAATGCTCAGGGGAGCTGAATTTTAACTTATAAGCAAAAACGACAATTACTAATGATAATTTGTTTATTTTGACCATTTTAGAGTTTGGTTAGAATTACTCTTTGAATTGGGAGGAAGAAAATAGGATTGTATTAAAACAGAGTTAGCTAAACCAGTGAATAATTTAATAGTTTCCTTACATGTGATTTAATCTAAAATCTGGATGAAAACAAAATGAACTTTCATTCTAAACACTCTGAAAGGAATGAAGGAAAGAGGGAGTTGCAATGAAGTATCAGAAGGGATGGGGACTACCAATTCTATGGGCGTCTAGTCACATCAGCTCATGGCAGCAAGAAACACCACAAAGTTATAAAGGAAGAGCCAGGTAAAGACCTCTGACTTAGAAGTTTACTGAGTGTCATGGTAAAAGTACAGAGATGCCAAAAACATCATATGGCATTAATGGCTCCCAAAACACCAAATGTCCTGCATTTCCTATTCTTCTAACCTTCTACCCATTTGGCCTTCTGAGAGCTGTTAATGCAAATAAATCCATACCTAACTAAGCCTTCTATTTTTAGGCACAGACAAATTTACTTTATATGACTCTACCCATAAAAACATACCTTGAATGCTTTGGTGGTTCACTGAAAGTTTGGCCTGGGAAAATGACCCAGTGAACACTGGAAAACTTCTTCTATTCCTAAAAAATAAATTATTTAATAAATAAATAAAAGTTTTGAAATGAAAAGAAAAAAACACTATTTCTCATTACATATAATTCAAGGTTTTTTTTCATTTAAAGGAATTTCAAAGTTGCATAATTATTTTTGCTCCATCATTCAATTACTTTCACAGTTACTACAAATTTGTTAACATTTACATTTCAAGTGTGCAAAAATGAAGGAACAAGCTGAAAATTAATGGATGAAATTTAGGAGTGTAAATAAGACAACCTTAAGTTTAGGTATAAAAGTCACTTTGGGATGACTGTGTATCAAATGAGGGTAGTGGGGGAGAAAAAATTGGTTCTGAATTATGTATCTTGGTTATCTAAATCCTCAAATACATTGAAAGTTTGTCATTGCAGTTTTAGATATAAGTACAAGTCACTAATGAGAAAATTCTCAAGTATTATTTATCATTTTTCTATTTTACAGTAGAAGAACATGTATGAAATACTGATGGAAAGTGGTTGAAATAAGGGTCATGCCTAATCTATAATTTTTATCATCTGCCCTGGGATAATTAAAAATTGATTGAAGAAAAGCAATCAGTTAACTACTTTTTTTCCTCAATCCAATTTACTATATGCAAACACAATCAAGATATCTCCCTTTAAAACAAAAAAAGCCTCCTGTTTTAACTGTTTTAAGAGCAGTTTTTACATACCAGGTATATACATTCAAACTTTTGCCATGCACTATTTTATTTGAAGTATATAACAAAAGTCTGGCCTCAGATATACAGATGGAAAAGGAAGGAGTATTTTATTTTATTTATTTATTTTTTAAAAGATTTTATTTATTTATTTGACAGAGAGAGAGATCCCAAGTCGGCAGAGAGGCAGGCAGGGGGTGGGGGGAAGCAGGCTCCCTGCTGAGCAGAGAGACTGATGCGGGCCTCGATCCCAGGACCCTGAGACCATGACCTGAGTCGAAGGCAGAGGCTTAACCCATTGAGCCACCCAGGCGTCTGGAAGGAGTATTTTAGTAGCCCTTTTGGATAAGTATGGTATCATACCAAAGCAAATATCACATCAAAACTCTAAAAAGGAATAACTTCTTTAAAGCTTACTGGAAATACAGAAATTGAAACACCAATGGACTTTTTGTATTCTGTGGCATTATGACCCATTGGTCTACCTTGCACTTTGAATGGATCTTTCACCGGTATGTGATTGTAAATTGTGCATTTGTCTTTTAGAAAATACTGTTTCACTAAGTTATGCAAATCTTTTTTATATTGATAATACTATTAAACATCAAAAGACCACCTTTGTAAATATTACCACTGATTTCACTGGAAAATTTTAAGTACTGGAAGCCATCAAGGTCAAGGTGGTAGAAACAAGTTTTCTACACTAATATTCACATGAATTTTTTCTTTGGCAACAAATACCACCAGCTGTTTTCCTTGAAGTGACTGGCTTACTTCACTGATTTTGAAGAATATGTCTGCCATATACCCAAGTGTGAATACTATTTTGTCTGTCAATTATTCTTTCAAGTTAAAAGAAAAAGTGAGCTAATTTTCTTACAATGTTTACAACTCAAACAAGTGCTCTCAAGACTACCATACTTCAGTATTCACAGAAGTACTTAGGCATACTTCCCCCATCAACACAACCATATCAAAAAGATATATATTCAAAAGTAGAAATTTAATTAAACAAGAACTTTTCTGCTTTACCACATGCATTAAATGAACCTCACTTTTTTCTTCCTTTCTAACAGCTAGTTCATGGCAGTGAAAAATACAGCCACTGCCCTAATCCTAGTAAGGCTTCAGAATTTTACTTGCCATTTTCTTTAGCAATCTATGTGCAAATGTCAGTACTATGAAACAGGCAAATAACATGTTAGTATTATTATGAAAATAGTTCTGACCTCAAAAACCGCCTGGAAAAAGTCTCAAGGACTCCCAAGGAGTCCATAGACCATACTTGGAGAACCATGGTTTTAAAAGAGCTGAAAGGATAAAGTCTTTTAAAGAACAACAGTCCTATAAAGCCTAATTTCAATAAGGTCTATAAATTATTCCTTCATGCTATGCTATAGATTTTCTTTTTAAATAATATTAGTAGACAGAAAATCAACTTAATATGAACCAAACTTTCTCATGAAATGAAACTTATCTAGAATGTTTCAAAATAACATATTTAGGCTGCTAAAGGGACAATTATTAAAAAATATACAATAATTCTAAAACTCTTAAGAAAATGAAGACTCACTTTAAAGTGTAAAATTACAAAAAGAAATCTACAATATAATAAAGCCCAAAGTTAGTATACTTACGGGAACAGAACCTCATTTTGTTCCATTTCATCTTGAGGTTGCTAGGGGGAAAAAAGGTAGTTTTCTTTTAACTGATAAATTCTAATACAATGCATTAATTAGAAATTTAATATTTAAAAAATTCTTGCATTATTCTTTCTTAGCATCTTCTCTGCTATGGTAAAATATATGCAACATAAAATTCACAATTTTAACCATTTTTACACATATGGGTCTGTGGCATTTTGCACATACTGTTGTACAACCATCACCAGCATCCATCTAGAGTACTTTTTCATCTTTCCCAACTGAAACTCCATACCTGTTAAGCACTAACTCACCATTCACCCCTCTCTCAATCCATGGTACCTATCCTGCTTCTTTCTTTCTACTACTCAGTCTCTACTGTGACTACTCAAAGTACCTAACATAAAAGGAACCATACGATATTAGTCCTTTTGTTTCTGACTTATTTCACTTAGCATGAGGTCTTTAAGGTTCACCCATGTTGTAGCATGTATCACTATTTCCTCCCTTTCTAATTAAATTGTATGTAACACACATTTTGTTTATCCACTCATCTGTTGGTGCCAGCAATAAGAAAGAATTCCAATTTTCCTACATCCTAACCAATACTGGTTATTTTGGGGTTTTTTTGATAATAGCTACCATAATGAGTGTAAGGTGGGATTTCAGTGTGGTTTTGATGTGTATTTCCCTAATGATTAATGATGCTGAACATCTTTTCATGTGCTTATTGGCCACTAGTCTATCTTTGGTGAAATGTCTGTTCATGCCCTTTGTCCATTTTTAAATCAGTTTGTTTTTTGTTGCTGAGTTCTAAGAGTCTTTATTTATTCTGGGTAGTAATCCCTAATGAGATAAACAATTTAAAAATATTTTCTCCCATTTCTTTTTTTTTTTTAAGAGTTTATTTATTTATTTGACAGAGAAAGATCACAAGTAGGCAGAGAGGCAGGCGGGGGGGGGCGGGGAGTAGGCTCCCTGCTGAGCAGAGAACCCCATGTGGGGCTCAATCCCAGGGCCCTGAGATCATGACCTGAGCCAAAAGCAGAGGTTTAACCCACTGAGCCACTCAGGTGCCCCTTTTCTCCCATTTCTTAAGTTGCCTTTTCATCTGTTGATAATGTCCTTTAGTCCACAAAGGTTTTTAATTTTCATGAGTCTAGCTTTATTTATTTTTTCTTTTGTTGCTGGGCTTTCATGTCCAGGAAATCACTGCCAAATCCAATGTCATGATACTTTTTCCCAATGTTTTCTTCTAAGAATTTTAGCTCTTGTGTTTAGTTTTTTAAATTTCTTTCCATAAAAGAATTTATGGAGATTAAATAAAGAGAAAGGATGTGCCCCTCTTTTTATTCCTGGTTCATTAATCCACAATGGTTCTGATAAGCCATTTTTGTCAGGTTCTCAGTTCTAATATTTCTCCTTGAGGGCCAAAAATCATAAACTTCCGTGTTACAATGTTAAATACTAAATGACTTTTGCCTAATTCTCAAGTCATGCCAGAAAATCTGAAGTTGTGTCCCTTAAAAAAAAGAAAAAGATAAAATGCACTGATAAAATGATTCCATTTTAAGTTTTGCAGCATACTGGCTTTCATCACTTTTAAACATTTAATTTGTTTCCATCTAAGTGGATCTTTAGAAAAAGATCTCTCTCTGGGGGCCCTCTATGTTTCTATGATCAATAACAATGTTTTCTGAAAATAAAGCCTTCAGTCTGAATTTCCAAGCATTGTTCGATCAATGAAAAACCATAATAACAGGAAAACACAAAGTACTGAGAAAACATCTATCTTCTCCAATGAACATTCACTGTTATTTACTGATAATGAATCTTTACGTACTTCAAGATTAGATTAGTTCCACATATATATACTTCCCAAGCAGACCTTACAAAGCTCCGAGACCCAGAGACAAGAAGGAATTTCAAGAAGTAAACCTAGAAACTCCCAAGGATTAATTAAATAGCATATACGTATATACTTATATACTTACTAGATATTTCTGTATCTTCACAAAATAATTCATTCAAATACCTATAATACTCCAGTTCATTTCCCTTACTATAGATCCCTTACTATAGATCAGTGACTTGACCCTACCTAGGTAAGGAAAATACAAAAAATAAGAGAGGAAGTAAGAAGGAAGTTTGCTCCTGATGATGTTCTTCCCCTCCTCCATAGGCAAAAACAATACTTAAGAGCTAATACTTCTAAATACAATGGGGGTTGGAGTTGGTTATTTGTTAATTAACAAAATGCAAGTATACATTTCAATCAACTCTTTCCTAAGGCATCCAAATTGCTGTTTATCCTTTTGATTCATGTGACTGTCATTTTTTTCCTGCCCTTACCACCTCTATTATTTTGATGGTCCCTTAAGCTGCACAGTTTTTGTTTTATTTCATCTGTTGGGGGTAGGGTATAGGAGGTGAAAAAGAGTTTAAGTTAACTGTGCTAATTTGGAGGATCTGGAAAAGGGGAAAATCTATTTATATATCCGCAACCAAAAATATCTGAAATCATTCTCTTCAACTGAATAGTGTATCACTGGGAGTGGCATGGAAGAAGTCTATACAGTCAAATCAGCCTAACCAACCCTGGGTCGCCAGGAGGCAACAGATATCTCACACAAACTATCCTCACGTTCAGTATAGCAGAATAAACATTCCTGGTATTGTTTTATTTATTGATCAGTTACTGATAACATTTGTTTAAAATACCTTTCTCTCAAATTGACAGTATATAATAAAACTAGGGGACTTTAACACCCCACCTGTATCAATGGATACATCTTCCAGAAAGAAATCAACAAAGAAACAGTGGCTTTGAATGACACTAACAATGGCTTAGAACAGATGGACGTAACAGATAAATACAAAATATTCCATCCAAAAACAGAAAACATGTTCTTCTCAAGGGCACATAAAATATTCTCCAGGATAGATCACATTATTAGGCCACAAAACAACTCTTGATTTAAAAGACTGAAATCACAGAGCAATGGGGTAGCTAAGTTGGCTAAGCACCTGTCTCTGGGTTTCAGGTCAGATCATGGCTTCAGGATTGTGGGATTGAGCCCCAATTCAGGCTCCTCACTCAGTATAAAGCCTTTCTAGGATTCTCTCTTTCCCTCTCCCTCTTCTCCGGAGCCCCATTAACTGTCTCTCTCTAAAAAATAAATAAATAAAAACAAAATAAAAACAAACTTTTATACAGTGAAGGAAACCATTAGAATAAAGAAAGGCAACCTAATGAATGAGACAGGATATTTGCAAATAATATTTTGATAAGAGGTTAACATCCAGAATAGATAAGAACTCATACAATTCAACAGCAAAAAACAACAACAAAAAACCTAAATAGTTTTTTAATTAAAAAGTGGGCAGAGGACCCAGACATTTCTTTAAAGAAGACAAACAGGTGACCAACAGACACACGAAAAGATACACATCACTAACCATCAGGGAAATGCAAATCAAAATCACAAGAGAGATCTCTTCACACCTGTCAGGACGGCTAAAACCAAAAAGACAAGAAACAACAAATGTTGGTAAGGATATGGGGAAAAGAGAACTGTCATGCACTGTTGGTGGGAATGTGAACTGGTGCAGCCACAATGGAAAATAGCATGGAGGTTACTCAAAAAATTAAAAATAGAACTACCATATGATCCAGTAATTCTACCTCTTGGTATTTTTCTGAAGAAAATTAAAACATGAATTCAAAAAGACATAATCACCCCTATGTTCATTACAGCATTATTTACAATAATCAAGATACAGAAGTAACCTAAATACACATACACACACACAAGAATATTACTTAGTCATAAAAAATGAAATCTTGCAATTTTTAACAACACAGATTGACTTAGAGGGCATGACGCTAAGTGAAGTAAGACAGACAAAGACAAACACCATAGGATGCCACTTACATGTAGAATCTAAAAAAACCCCAAATGAATAAATAAAATAAAACAGAAATAGGCTGATAAATCAGAGAATTGATGGTTGTCAGAGAGGAAGGGAGATGGGAAGATGGACAAAATAGGTGAGGTGGAGTAAGAGGTAAAATCTTCCAGTTATAAAATAAATTAGATATGAAAATGCAATCAATAATATTGTCACAACTTTGTATGGGGCCTGCTGGTAACTAAACCTACTGTGGTGACCATTTGATAATGTATGTAAATATCAAATCATTATGTTACACACCTGAAGCTAACACAGTACTGTATGGCAATTATTCTTCGATTAAAAAAACCCAAATTTGAGATTCACAACAGAATACAGCATCTTTGATGAAATGTTTTCAGTATAATAAAAAAGAAAGCTGAGTTGTCTTATTCTAAAAAGGAAACAACACAATTTTTCCCTGAAGTCTTCAATCTGTGTAAAATTAACTATCTTCACTCATAAAAATGCATGTGTGTGAATATTTCATTCATTTCAAAACAATCAATAAAAATGTTAGGATTTTTATTTTATCCTCAGAGGGAAAAAAAATGTATCTATGGTCCCTTCCTTCCTTAAGACTTTGTAGGTATCTCTGGTTAGCTGACTTATTTATGCCACAGGTGCTAACTAAATCACCCCTTATCTCTCCCCAGGGTGACTACATTAAAAAGAAACAAAAAAATTTGTGTATGTAAGTGTATATATATACACATGCACTCACACACACATTAGATAATAGAAGGACCTTTCAGTAGCCCATATCTCAAATTACACCACGCAGACTAACATCTTCCTCACAAATTTAAAGTGATCTCTAGATGAAAATCATAATTATTATATTCTATTTTAACCTTCTGTTTCCTCTCACTTCCACATTTCTACCTGAAAGAGAGAAAAGAGAGGGAAAAATGAAATATTTTAAATACCTCCTTCTAAAACAACTGCTTTTCACCAAAGTTGCAACGAAGAAACAGAATGACTAGCTAAGAAAGGGTAAAAACTGAGTAAGAGAAGAAAGAAGGAAAATAATAGACAAAAAGAATTAATCATTAGTAATTTGGCCCTCTTTAAAATAGCATTTCCAATTTTTAATAAGTGTGTATTTAATCAATATGATATATACCTGTAAGACTTCTTTCTCACTAAGAGGCGGCATTATATTATTTTTACTCTTTTGCTCTTGTGGAATCTCTCTGAATTTGAAAGCAAGTTGAATCTCAGGAGAAGGTGAGCCTAGAATGAAATATAATCATAAATCATTTGCAACAGGTTTATTGTTCTGACAATGACTCCATGATTTTACAGAAATTACAAAATGTCATTAAAAATTATTTTGTAAATTATAATTTCCTAACTGCCACTTTTACATATCAAAGTCTTTAAGTTATTAATTTCAAAGAAACATATACTACACTGGAATAAAATAATACTTGATATTTCTTAGTTTCAGGTAGAATGAATACAAAGGATACATAGAGACAATATATAGACTTAAACCCCCTTAGAGAGAATACTTTCTTCTTTTTCAATTCTGTGTGAGGGCATTTTTAAAACTCCTAATACTAGTCTATAATCCAAAAACAGAGTTTGTGTTTTAAGGCAGGAATAAGATCCTCACTGGATATTTGAAATTGTTTTTCCAAGTTTAGCCAATTGTAGACTGTTTGGCTTACCGGGTAGCAAGGATTAGAACAGATATTTTGACTTCTTATTAGTAAGTTACATTATTATCCCATCATTCCCTTTTCCATATTTTTTAAGTAGTAAAGTTAATACCTGCTCACTATAGAAACTTGGGAAAATAAAGTAGTATAAAGGAGATACTAATGATCACCCAGAGATAATTATTCATAACATACTTGTGGATTTCCTTCTGATCCTTTACTGTGTGTGTGTGTGTGTGTGTGTGTGTGTGTGTGTGTGTTTTATAAAATGGAGTTACCCCGTATAAATTAGGTTTTCAGATTTTTTTTAAAAAAAGGATGGGGAAGTGAGATCATATTTTAACTTTTCTTCCCTTCCGACTTCCTAAAAAGAATCCAAAGAAATTAGTTGTTGCTGTTTTTTGAAATTAGTTTTGTTTTTGTTTTTTTTTAAACCTGAAGCAGCAATGAGAAAAAAAGGAAATATACCACTATGGATCAGAAGATGAGACTGGATTAAAGGGAAACCGAACACAGGTAAACAGTATATCACTCTGCATGGGAAAAGGAGTGGCTCCTTCAGGAATAACTATATGAATTTCTTGCACGAGAATCTCAGAAAACCACTCAGCTCAGAGCAAATCACACCAACCAAAGATGGAAGAGAGTACACTGGAGGATCACCATGGGTAGTCTCATACTCCACTGATATTGATGTTTGTACCAAAGGAGCTCAGAATGAATAATATAGCCAGTTACTCTGTGTAGAAGGATATCTTCCCTACCAGATAAAGAAACGTACTAAAACTAGGGCTCATAAAATAACAGTGCTGGTACATCACCGAATATAATCAAATAGAACAATGAAACAAAATAAGTGGAAAACAGACCTATATATATATATATCTGGGAATTTAATATAAAATAATAATGGCATTTTAAACAGTGACAAAAAGATGAATAAAATATAAATGTAAATAAAGATAAAAGAAAAACTTTTATGGTCTTGTGGTAGGCAAAATATTTCCAAGTTTGGAAAAAAACCAAGAAACCCCAGAAGAAAAGACTGACAGGTTTTGTTATATAAAAACTTAAGGGCACCTGGGTGGCTCAGTTGGTTAAATGTCTGCCTTCAGCTCAGGTCACAATCTCAGGATCCTGGGATCCAGCAGGGAGTCTGCTTCTCCTTCTCTCTCTACCCTTTCCCCACGGCCCCATCCTCACTTGTGCTCTTTCTCTCTCAAATAAGTAAAAACTTTAAAAAAGAAAACCTTAAAGTTTCTGCTTACAAAATATATCATGAATAACATTAAAGTTAACTAGGAAACTGAGTGAAACTATTTTCCATATATAGATGACAAAGTTTTTTGTTTTCTGTTTTTTAAAGATTTCATTTATTTAATTGACAGACAGATACCGCAAGTAGGCAGAGAGGCAGGCAGAGAGAGAAAGGAGAAAGCAGGTTCCCCGCGGAGCAGAGAGCCCAATGTGGGGCTCGATCCCAGGACCCTGGGATAATGACCCGAGCCGAAGGCAGAGGCTTTAACCCATTGAGCCACCCAGGCGCCCCTAGATGACAAAGTTTTATTATCTTTAATATATAAAATGATCTTATAAATCAAGAATAAAATGAGAATAATTTATGAGACATGTAAGGAATACTCAATATTAAAGTATGTCTAACCTTGGTACTCTTCGAAAATGCAAATTAAGATAATGAGACACTTTTTATTTAGCAGTTTGGCAAAGACTGAATATATCCTTTGCTGGATCTAAAGGAAAAAGTCATCTTTTTAAGGGGTAATATGTGTCAAGATCTGACATGTTTCTTTTAAAAACGAATATAATTTTTGCTAGTTATACTAAGGAAATAACCAGAAAAGCAAGCAAAGGTATAAATACTAGAACAGTCACATTTATTACAGTATTGAGAAATACCAAAAATATTATCAATTCATTAAATATGGGTAGATTTAACAGAATAACATGCAGCAATTTAAAAAGTTGAGGAAGATCAATATAACAAGGAAAGAACTATATTTAACACAATACCGATTATAAAAAAAGATATTCATATTGGCATACAAAAGTCTAGAAAAATATACAAATACTAAACACTGGCAATTCTTGGAATGGAATTATAGGGAAGAGTAGGGGGTGGGACCTTACACTTTCTACATTATATAGTTTTGTATTTAGAAAATTTTTATTCTTGGAGTACCTGGGTGGCTAAGTGGGTTAAAGCCTCTGCCTTCAGCTCAGGTCATGATCCCAGGGTCCTGGGATTGAGCCCCGCATCAGGCTCTCTGCTCAGCAGGGAGCCTGCTTCCCTTCTTCTCTCTGTGCCTGCCTCTGCCTACTTGTGATCTCTGTCTGTCAAATAAATAAAATCTTTAAAAATATATCTAGAAAAATTTTATTCTTTTAATAATTAGCAAAAGTAACAAAAAGTCTATCAATTTGGAAAATCAAAGAAAAAAGAAGAAGGAAAGTGAAGAAAAAACTTGGTTGGAATATTAAAACACACCTCTAACTTCTTCTTAGTGGTACTTTATATGACATAAGAGCACGTTCTAGAGACTACTGTTACACATTGCCTCTTCCAAATACATATAAGAAAAATCCCTCCAAGATGAAATTGCAACTTCCCACTGGAGTACCAAGTGAAATGATGTACTGTGAAAAGACTCTCTGAACTATATATAAAAGATCTTTGTGGTGTTTAAGAAATTTTTCCTTTTTATCATACCTATTTTCAGACATCCTTGAAAATAAAAAAAGGCTCCCAAGAAGAAAGCATAAAAAGAAATAATGTACCCCTTAAATAGTCATTGCAAATATATCTTTTTGAACCATGATGTTCAGTGATATATTTTTCTATAAGCATTTAAATTGACCTAGAAGTGGACTCAGGAAGTATAGAAAACTGTAGGTAAAAGGTACTTTTAAAAAATATATGTACCACATATCAATGAAATCATACAGTATTTGCCTTTTTCAGTCTGACTTCTTTCATTTAGCATAATAACCTCTTGGTCCCTCCATATTACAAATGGTATGATCACATCTTTTTCATGGCTGTGTACTATACATACACATATACATATATATACACATATACATATACACCACATCTTCTTTATCCATTTGTCTACCAATGAACGCTTAGGTTACTTCCATATCCTGGCTACTGTAAATAATGTTGCAATAAGCATAAAAGTGCATATATATTTTTTTACTTAGTGTTTTCATTTTTTTTTGGGTAAACACCCAGTAGTGGAATCATTGGATCATATGGTATTATTCTTTTTAATTTCTTGAGGAACCTCCACACTGTTTTCTATTGCAGTTGTACCAATTTACATTACCACCATCCATGCACAAGGGTTTCTTTTCTCTATAGCCTCACCAACACTTGTTATTTGTCTTTTTGCTTTTAGCCATTCTGATAGATCTAAGGTGATAACTCTTTGTGGTTTTGATTTGCATTTCTCTGTATGTCTTCTTTAAAAAAATGTCTATTTGGGTCCCCTCCCCATTTTTTACTCGGATTGTTTGCTTTTTAGGTATCAAGTTGTATAAGTTCTTTATACATTTTAGAAATAGGGACGCCTGGGTGGCTCAGTGGGTTAAGCCTCTGCCTTCGGCTCAGGTCATGATCACAGCATCCTGGGATCGAGTCCCGCATAGGGCTCTCTGCTCGTCAGGGAGCCTGCTTCCTCCTCTCTCTCTCTCTCTCTCTCTCTCTGCCTGCCTCTCTGCCTATTTGTGATCTCTGTCAAATAAATAAATAAAATCTTAAAAAAAAAAAAAAGAAATTAACCCCTTATCAGATATATCATTTGCAAATAACTTCTCCATTCAGTAGGTTGTCTTTCATTGTGTTGATGATTTCCTTTACTGTATAAAAGTGTTTTACTTTGATGTAGTTCCAATAGCTTATTTTTGCTTTTATTTCCCTTGCCTTTGGAGACGTATCTAGCTAGAAAAATGATGCTAGGGCCAATGTCAGAAAAATTACTGCCTGTGTTCTCTTCTAGGGTTTTTGTAGTTTCGGGTCTTACAGTTAAGTCTTTAATCCATTTAAGTTTACTTTTGTGTATGGTATAAAAAATTAGTCCAGTTTCATTCTTTTGCTTGTAGCTGTCTAGTTTTCCCAGCACCATTTTTGAAAAGACTGTATTTTCCCCATTGCATATTCTTGCTTAATTTGTCATAGATTAATTGATCCTATAAGTGTGGCTTTATTTCTGGGTTCTCTACTCTGTTCCATCAATCTTTTGTGCCAATACCACACTGTTTTGGTTATTACACCTTTGTAGCATACCTTGAAGTCTAGGATTGTGACACTTCCAGCTTTGTTCTTCTTTCTCAAGACTGATTTGGCTACTCAGGCTCTTTTGCAGCTCTATAGATATTTTTAGATTTGTTCTAGTTCTGTAACAAATGTTGTTGGTATTTCCATAAGCATTCACTGCATTTGGGTGATATGGATGTTTTAACAATATTAATTCCTATAATCCATGATCATGGAATATCTTTCTATTTGTGTCATCTCCAATTTCTTTTATCAGTATTTCATAATTTCCAGAATATGGGTCTTTCACCTCCTTGGTTAAGTTTACTCCTAGGTGTTTTATTCTTTTTGCTGCAATTATGAATGGGATTGTTTTCTCAATTTCTCTTTCTGCTACTTTGTTATTAGTGTATAATAAGCCAGACTAAGAAAGACAAATACTATATGATTCCACTCATACAGGGAATCTAAAAAAACAAAACAAACGAATACACAAACCAAAAAAAAGCTGAACCAGACTTATAAATACAGAGAACAAACTGATGGTTGCCAAAGGGGACAGGGGTGGGGAGAATAGACAAAATGGGTGAATGGGAGTGGAAGATAAAGGTTTCCAGCTATGGAATAAATAAGTCACAGTAATAAAAAGCACAGCATAGGAAATATAGTCAATAATATTATAATAACATTATATGTTAAAGATGGTAGCTAAAACTGTGGTGAGCCTAGCATAACCCATAAAGTTGAGTCACTATGGTGTACACCTGAAACTAATGTAACAGTATGCATTAACTATACTCAAATTCAAAAAATTAAATATATAAAATTAAACAAAGGATATTTGGTATTTCAGTCTGAAATAGGCTGGTTATTAAAAAGTACTATTCACTTTTGCAAATAAACAAGTTCTAGGGCTAAGTTGGAAATTTTTGCAAGGAGAAGAGCTATCTGGGTATCACTTGCTTATTTCTGAAGGCCTCTCAAGGAGTCATTAACATCTTCCAGAAGTTATAACTTCCCTTGCTATCTTTATAGTAACAGACCTTAATAGACCTTAGGCTCTATTACAGATGAGTATAAGAAACTAATTCTGTGTAAAGTTAAAAACAAAACTAACTATAAAAGGAGAAATTGACAGAGTAATAACAGTTGGCAAATTAAAGGGACTACTTAGTGAAAAAAATTTTTTTCTCACCTTCGTACATTCCACTTATACCAGGATGGAGACTGAACTCAGATCTAAGAGATGTGTCTTGATCAAAGAGCAACCTTTCAAATACCAAAACAGAAGATACAGATTATGTTCCTAAACAAAGACTAACAATTTAACCACAATTTGTTATTATACTTAAACTTGCTAAAATTCTTAGTTACACCACACTATTAATACCTACACCAAAATATCTTTTTAGATGTGTACCCTTTAATTAAAAACTTACATAAGATGAAAAATAAAGACTTATTTATATGGTCTAGTTCATTTTTATAATACCCTGTTATTTCTGAGTACTTGGGAGTAAGGGATGAATATCAATATAGTTTCTGAACAGAGATGAAGTGAGATGATTTGAGGGAACAGTGCTGGTAGGTTTCCTCCTTCACATTTCTCTATACCACAGAGAATTTGAGATTAGAATCCCAGGACTGAATCTGAGTATATATTTTCAGAATACAAAATGATAGAATTCCTTCAGTTTTTGGATTTACTTCCTACTATGTTCATCATAGTAGGTGCATCAAGGTAACAAAGAGAGAAGACACACAATCCATACCCTCAAGAAGCTTCAAATCCAGTGACAAATACAAAACTAAAAAATAGCAATGATGTGCCATGGTGAGTACGCTAGTAGGCAGATTTAACGTGTTAGTGTTTTCTGATTTAAAAAACCCTACAGAATTCAAAACAAGGAAAAGGACTTGAAAAGAAATTTATCCGAAGATGTACAAATGGCTAACAAGAACACAAGAAGATGCTCAACATTACTAAATATTAGGAAAATAAAAATCAAAACCACAGTGAGATATCACATCACATCCATTAGGTTATGATCAAAAACAAAACAGAAAATAACAAGTAGTGACAAGGATATGGAGAAACTGGAACTTTTGTGCATTGCTAGTGGGAATGTTGAACGGTACAACCACTGTGGAAAACAGTATGGTTGTTCATCAAAAAAGAGATCTTTTTTTTTTTTTTTTTTTTTAAAGAGATCTTTAACCACCATTTGATCTAGTAATTCCATTTCTGGGTATGTACACAAAGTAACTGAAAGCAGGGATCTGAAAATATTATTTGTACACTTCTGTTCAGAGAAGCATTATTCATAGAAGCCAAAAGGTGAAAGCAACCCAAGTATTCATCAACAGATAAGTGGATAAACAAAATGCTGTACATACATGAAATGGAGTATTATTCAGCCTTAAAATGGAAAGTAATGCTGATACATGTTATAACATAGACCTTAAAAATATACCAGTGCAGTGGTGCATAAACAATGAATTTTGGAACACTGAAAAGAAATAAAATAAAATGAAACAAGCAAACATACCAATGCTTGCTTTGGCAGCACATATACTAAAACTGGAATGATACAGAAAAGACAGCATGGCTCAGGTGCAAGGATGACATACAAATTCATGAAGCATTCCATATTTCAAAAAATTACACTAAGTGAATGAACCAGACACAAATGGACAAATACTATATGATTCCACTTACATGAGATAGCTAGAATAGTCAGGTCCACAGTGATCAAAAGTAGAATGGTGGTTGCCAGGGGCTGGGAGCAGGGAGGAATGGGAAGTTAGTGTTTAATGGGTTCAAAGTGTTAGTCTGGGAAAATGAAAAAGTTCTAAAGTCAGAGAGTGGTGATGGGTGCACAACAATGTGAAAGCACTTAATGCCACTGGACTGTATACTTAAAAATGGTTACAATGGTAAATTTTATGATACATATTTTTATGATGATAAAAATAAAATTAAAAAAATATTTTCAGAATATAACAGTATACCAAGGCATGAATATATGATTTGGCACTAAATGGGTTCTTTTGTTTACTTACTTGTTCGTTCTGCTCTTCACTTTTTTAAGGAAAATTATAAACAATAACAACACAAGAGATAATAGTATACTTATTGTCTAGGTTCAACAACTACCAGTACACAGACAATCTTATTTCTTGTATAATCATTCTGCCACCCTCTCTGTTCCTTCCAGTCTCACTAGATTATTTTGAAACAAGTCCTGGACATCTTATTCCATTTCACCCAGAAATATTTCAGTATGCAACTCTAAAAGGACACTTTTCAAACACCACCATAATAACCACACCTTTAAAAAACAACCATAATTATCACACTTTCAAAAAGCCAATAATTCCTGGGGCGCCTGGGTGGCTCAGTGGGTTAAGCCTCTGCCTTCAGCTCGGGTCATGATCTCAGGGTCCTGGGGTCGAGCCCCACATCGGGCTCTCTGCTGAACGGGGAGTCTGCTTCCCTCTCTCTCTCTGCCTGCCTCTCTGCCTACTTGTGATCTCTCTTTAAAAAAAAAAAGCCAATAATTCCTTAATATTACTAAATTTACAGTCTTTAGTAAACAGCCTCTGAAATGGCTCCTGGTATTTATGCCCTTGTGTGAACCCCTCCCTTGAGTACAGACTGAATCCAGAAATTCTTCTAATAAACAGAATATAGCAAACATGTTAGGATGCTACTTTGAGAAAGACACCGGCTTTCATCTTGCTCTCACTTTCTTATTTTCTTAATTCTTCCCTCTCATGGAATTTGGCTTGCCATGCTGTGAAACACTCTGCAAGAGAACCCTATGTACCAAGACACCAAGGAAGGCCTCCAGTCAACCATGAGGGACAAATGAATCTTAACAAGCACTATACAGGAAGTGAATCCTTCTCAAGAGGCCTAGAGGGGTCCCTAGGTGGCACAGTCGGTTACGCGTCTGCCTTCTGCTCAGGTCATGATGCTGGAGTCCTGAGCTCTGCACTGGGCTCCCTGCTCTCTGTACTGGGCTCCCTGCTCAGCAGGGAGTCTGCTCCTTCCTCTGCCTCTCAACCCACTTGGGTTTTCTCTCAAATACATAAATAAATAAAATCTGGAAGAAGAAGAAAAAGAGAAAGAGGAAGAGGAAGAGGAAGAAGAAGAAGACAATGACGACCACCACAACTAGAACTAGAGATGAATGCAGCCTCGTCAGTCTGTGAGCCTGATGACCCAATTAAGCCACTCCCTAATTCCTGACCCACAGAAACTACAAGAAAATAAATGTTCACTGTTTTAAGTTTCTAAGTTTTGGACTAAGTTTTTCTACAGCAAAGGAAAACCAAATAGATTGTAGTCACATTCCCCCAACTGTTTCTTTTTAGTTGTTTTGTTCAAATCAAGATTGAAACAAGGGGCCCACATTGTTTTTGGTTGCTATATCTAGGTATCTTCTTAAATATATAAATTACTCCCCCACTGGAATTTAAGAGTTGAAGGAACTAGACTGTTTTTTTCCTTAAGTTTCCTACATTTTGAATTTTCTAACTGTATGTCATGTAACATGTTCCTTTATCCCATATACTGCCTATAAACTGGTTGTTAGCTAGAAGTTTAATCTGATTCAAGTTAACTGGGGGTGGGAGGCATGTGTGTACTTCCTACAGGAGACAACAGTCTTTCAGCACCCCCCTTCGCCTTGGGCCTGGAACACTTTCTTACCAAGATTCAGAGTCCTCCCAGCCTGCGCTGGACTTTATACCTTGCATGGGAAGGTGTGTACTCCTTTGCTGTGAAAGCATGTGTGTCCTGTGTTACCTGGAAAACCTCACTACTATATATGTCCTCTGTGGGGACAAGATGAAGTCACTTTGTGGCACAAGAGGAATGTGTGCATACCAAAGGCCTGCATCAGCTGCAGAGAGTGACTGCTAGCCATGGGGGCCAATATCTACTAGTGAAGCTGCTCTTGCTTTGTCTCTTCTCTATGTAAATAAAGAACTGTTCTAGCCTGCCACCACCTAGATCTTGGACTTCCAGTCTCCAGAACCATAAGAAAATGCATTTGTTAGTTAAGCCATCCAGTCTGTGTTTGTTTGCTTTTTTTTTGTTTTTTTTTTTTTATTTGACAGAGAGAGATCACAAGTAGACGGAGAGGCAGGCAGAGAGAGAGAGGAGGAAGCAGGCTTCTCGCTGAGCAGAGAGCCCGATGTGGGACTCGATCCCAGGACCCTGAGATCATGACCTGAGCCGAAGGCAGCGGCTTAACCCACTGAGCCACCCAGGCGCTCCCAGTCTGTGGTATTTTTAGGGCAGCTTGACAAACTAATACATCACTATCTTCCCTAGTTTCCCAGAATAAAATATTGTATCCTACTTAGATATCATATCATATTTAGAGTCCACAATACTAATATTATCATTAACAGTATGATTACTGAAATTACTTTGCAATTCTTTATGTCCTTGGAGTATATCTTATCTGGCATGTATAGATAATTTTGTTTAAAAGGCACTTAATTCCTTTTGGTGTAATTATGCTATCAAGTCAATACATAATTAGGTTTACCTGTTTAATCTTACTTCTTATTTTTTTTTTAAGATTTTTTATTTATTTATTTGACAAAGAGAGAGAGAGATCACAAGTAGGCAGAGAGGCAGGCGGGGGGTGGGGGGGAGCAGGCTCCCCACTAAGCAGAGAGCCAATGCGAGGCTTGCTCCCAGGACCCTGAGATCATGACCTGAGCTGAAGGCAGAGGCTCAACCCACTGAGCCACCCAGGTGCCCCTTTTTTGCTTTTTAGAAAATTTTTCATGTTGGTTTAATTTTGTTTTATAATTATGCAAAGCATAAATGTATAAAATAAGATCTATTTAGAGAAGTCTAGTCTTGTCTCATCTTGTCTCTTCACCCATCTGTTCTTTTCACTTCCCATTTTTTAAAATTGTATGGTTTATCCTTCCAATGTGTTTTTGAAAATATAAGCAATGTGAGTATTCATGCCCTCACCCAGTCTTAGATAAGCAGTAGCATTCTATATATCTCTTTACTTTTTCTTCCTTAACAATAAATCCAGTAGACTGATCAGTGCAGGGGAAGAAACTTTCTTCGTTCCTCTTTATCAATTCATAGTACGCCACTGTGTGGATTCTCACATAGTTTTTTAAAAATATTTATTCATCTAAGTAATTTCTATACCCAACAAGGGCTTGAACTCACAACCCTGAAATTAAAAGTCACATGCTCTTCCAGCTGAGACAGCCAAGTACTCCTC